TTTTCGGGGGGGGGTGTCTTGTTGAGATGGGGGTCCCTGTAACCCCAGTTGGCCTGGAACTCACTATGTAGATCAGGCTAGCCTTGAACTCACAAGAGATTCACCTTATAGTTTTTTCCACTTTAAATTTGCAGCTCTTGCTACACAGGCACATCAACCCCTATGCTAGTCAGTTAGGGTTAGTGTAGTGGGTAGTGGTATTTTGTGAGTCACAACAAAGATGGAGACTAAGATACTTGATGGAAAAGTAGTTTCCAGATGGTATGCCTGTACTAATATCTGTTCTTTCCTGTGAGGAAGAGATTAGTTGACAATTACTCTGGACTGTAAAAATCTAAGGAGACATGGAGAACACTTTTTAGGTTGCTCTTTATATCAAGAGGAAAAGACATTGGCTCAGCCCCTAGAGGACCACCAGGAGGCCACTCCCATGGCTACCAGTCATCAGGAACAGCTTTACCGCAGTTTAGAATAAATCAAGGATATAGTACTGAAGGTGGAAAGGAGCTTGGACCTGGTGAACAGCTGGTTGTTTGTGGAGGGTGTTTGGAAGTCAGATTTATTTAATGATTTAAAAAATATATTTTATTTATTATTTTTATTCTATGTGTATGTGTGTATTGCCTGCATGTATGTAAGTGCACCAGTGTCGTACAATGCCGGCAGAGTTCAGCTGGGATTTAAACCCACTCTTCTGCAAGAACAGCCAGTGTTCTTAACCACTGAGCCATCTCTCCAGCCCTGTAGTAAGCCTTTTTATGTGTTGCTTCACCTAAAGAGATGAAGTAGGTAGGAGGGTATTTTGGAAAAAGGTTGGAAAAAGGGCGACTCATAGATTTTAATGCAGCTAATCAGGAATGACTAAAGAGGAGACTTTAAATGGAATGTGATCACTTACTACATTGTGAGGGGAAATGAGAGAGAAAAGAAACTTGGCCTCAGAAACCTCTTTGTCATGAGTTCCCACTGGATATACCTTTCCACTGGCTAGTAGAAGTACCTACACTTTATTGACTGTTCTGTGATGAGATGTATCATGTATGAGACAGTAGGGAAAACGACAGCTCAGAGTCCAGTGAGCCCGTTGTATTTGTCCGGTGACACTGGATTCCCTACCCTGGTTCTCCACATGACTAGATGATATGTGGCATTAGGCAAGTTCCTTAAACTCTTTAAGTCTTAATTTCCTTAACTCTTAAAGGGATCCATCCATAGGCTACTTCGTAGGATTGCCTAAGATACTAGAGGCAAGATATACACATGTGGAAAAGTTCCGTAAGCGTCCCTCTTCCATTCCCCCTTTCCCTACTTCCTGTTAGACTTGACCAATTTTTAAGCACTAGATGTGAGAAATAAGGAAAAGGTGCTTTTCTTCAGCAATACCCTACGTTGTAGAAATGTTATTTTCTCAAATGTCAATTCTTACCAATATCATAGTGTTAGTTATTAAGCATATTCTTGGAAGACTAATATTGTTTATATATGCTTTAGTCTGAAAATGTAAAAAAATGCAGATAAATTGACATTTTTCAGTCATAAAAGGTATCAACACAATTTATGAAATTCAGAACTTCCTGGTTTCAATTCCTTTGCCTAAGTCACTAAACCATTTTTTTCTACAATGTTGAAAGAGAGGTACTTTGTATAGAAGGAAATTAATTATTCTTTCTAAGTTTCAGCAAAAAGCACATTTATTATGTGTTCAACAAAGTTGTATTCACTTTACCCAACTGAGAAATAGTTAAGGGATTTCATTATATTTGGTGAACATTTTCATCAATCAGAGATTTAGCAGTCACCAAAAAGAGCACCACAATTAATCTTTTATAACATGGACTGACTTATCTCTACATTAAGAAAAAATATTAAATATAAGGGGAAACTATTCATAGACCTTAATATTTCTTGGCAAAGAAAAACTGCTTTGTGTTTTTAAAGATATGGTGAAGAGTTTAAATGAAACTTACATGCTTGAAATTAGTGCCAGATGCAATACAATTCAAGCACAATTCTCTAGCTGGATCCTATATTTCACTATGATTTACTAGAAAGTATTCAACGATTCTATGTTTCATAGAAATCTCAAAAATACAAGTATTTCATTCACAAAACACACAGCTTGGCAGGTTTCCAGAGCAGGAATGTGCTGGAGGGAAGGTGAATTTATTTATTAAAATAAATCAAATAACTGACATTTTCCTTAGAAAACTGCCAAAACAATCCTATTCAGAAGTTGAAAGTCTCACACTGGAACCAGAACAAAACTCTGAGCTATTACTTGTGTTTGTTATCAGAATTCATTCATGTCATAGGCAATCGGATATTTGAGAATTTTCATACTAACCTTGAGAAACTATACATGTAAGACTTCTTAAAAACCTTTGATATGAAATCTGATATTTCTAAACCCTTTGAGTCCATCTCTACCCAATGTACAAACATATGCACTAAGCACTGAGCATTCTTGAATGGAGTATTCCAAGTACTTCTCAAACATGCTGCTGTTATTTTCTTCTACCCCATGCTCTGGCTTTCTCCTTCTGCCCTCTCATTATTCTGGTCACTTATGCTGTCAGTGATTGTTAGGGGCAAGTTATGTATTCCCCCAAATTCGTGCTGAAGCCTTAACCCACAACATAGCTACATTTGGAGATAAGGCCTCTAAGGAAGTAATTTAGGTTAAATAAGATCAAAAGGACAGGTCCCTGATCTGGTATGATCAGTGTCCTTATGAGAAGGGAGAAGGGACTCCAGAGAACTTCCCCAACCTGTGTTCAAATGAGGTCACGTGAACATATGGAGGTAACTGCTGCCTTCAAGCCAACAGAAAAACCATACAGGTAGACCTCACAGCATCCAGAACCCGAGAAATGGAGTTATTTAAACTACCCAGTCTGTAGTATTTTGCTATGGCAACTCCCATAACACAGCAATCAGGCAGCATAATGCAAATAATTGCAATACCAGTTTCATACACCTCCTTTAACTACTTAACATTTTAAGGATTTGGATTCAAAGAAAATCCTCTTCAAGAGCTGAACAGAGTCACGGAGGCCCACACCTTTAATCCCAACATTTGGGATGAAAAGGTAAGGTGATCTCTGTGAGATTGAGGGCAGCCTGGTCTACATAGCCAGTTCCAGGCCAGCTGTGGCTACAAGAAGACCCTGTCTCAAAAAGACAAAACAAAATAAAAGCTGGACAGGTTTATCCTGGGTCGTTCCATATAGATCCTTGAATTATTCAGTCCCTCTTTTAAAATCAGGGAATGTTTGAGAGGGGACCTCAGCCATATAAACATATGAAATTGGGATTATATGCCATAAACTTCATTTATTTCCAGATGTTGGAAGTAGCGTCTGGGTAATGAATGGTTAAGTAGTAGGTTTAAATATCTGAGGATGCTAAATCTGTTTATGTTATTGAGTGCAAGCAAAAATTTTGCATGTGATTAGAATACTTTTTAAAAGGTATTTATTGATGTCAACAATAATAACAATACATGGCTGCAACTGAAAATTACTTTGCATCAAACAATAGGTGTGTTAAATTCGTCCTCCAAGTAACTTACTTTGAATAAAGTCAATCATAGCAGTTTTCAGCCCAGTCAGTGTGAGTTGATCAGACCATGTTTACATAAAGCAAAAAAAAATTTTTTTTTGGTCTTTTTGAGACAGGGTCTCCCTGTAGCTCCAGCTGTCCTGGAACTCACTATGTAGACCAGGCTGGCCTTGAACTCACAGAGATCTGCCTGCCTCTGCCTCCCAAGTGCTGGGATTAAAGGCGTGCGCCACCATGCCCGGCTATCAGTTCCTTTCTTAATAAAAAAAATACTTTTATGTGCATGTATGCATGGGTGCCACATGCATGTCTTGCTCTCTGAACTTTGGTTCAGGGTACTACTCGATCCATAAAACAATTATTTGCTCAAATAAACTCTGCTAAACTTAATTTGCCTAAAGTTCTACTTTTTAACTTGTTAAAGGCTTTATTTGTATTGGTGTGCATGTGCCCACGAGTGTGTGCTCCCATGCACGTGTGTACATATGTGGAGTTCAGAGGACGGCAACCCGTGTTGTTTTCTCAGCCACTGTTTACCTTTCTTTATTTAAGTGTCTCATTCTGGCCTGGAGCTTTCCAAGTCGGCTAGGCAGGCTGGCCAGTGAACCCCAAGGATCTGCGTCTGCCTCCCAAGGGCTGGGATTCAAGCATGGGGGCCACTACCTCCGGCTTTTTGCACAGGGGTTCTGGGGATGGAATGCAAGTCGTCCTGCGTGCTCAGCAGGCATTTCACTGTCTCCCCCAATTCTATATTTTCTTAAAAGTAGGAAAATACACTTAATCTAATTATAGAATACTAGTTCAGGAAATGGAAGCCTTTCTGGATTAGTTTCATTTCCCAGTCTCTGCTTCATTGCGGGGTTTTATTGTCTTTACAGTGATATTTTCTTTTTCTTTTTTTTTTTCCCGTGCTTATTTTTCCACCCCTACAAGTCCTCCTCAGGACCTAAAATCGGTGCCGGCCATGCGAAGGGGCTCACAGCAAGATTGTCAACCAGAGGGCGGGCGCCGGGATAGCCGGAAGGGGATCTGAGAGTGGCAGGAGGCCTGGGACACAGTGGGCACGCAAAGATGGGCTGAAAGGGAAAAAAAGGAAGAGAAGAAGAAGGGAAGGGAGAAGAGAGGGAAGGAAACGGATGGATGAATGAACACATTCCCTGAAGGCCTCGAAGGCTCTGCATTCTAGAGCGAACTCAGTTCACTGTCAAAGTCAGCACTTCCCTCAGCCAGGAAGTGGGAAAGAACAATGAAACGCCTTAGGAAGGAGAAGGACCGTGAGGAAAACTAGGAGGTGCGGGCAGAGCGCTGAAGACAGGCACCGCCTCCTCCAGGCGGCTGCAAAAGCCCAGCCAAGCGGGCCGTTGCCGGGGCGACCGCAGAGCCAGAAGGGCCGCAGCCTATTGGCTGAGATGCCAGAGCCAATGGGAAGGCGCGATGTTGGCGGGGGTTCTAAGATGGCCGCCGGGCCGCCGCTTCCAGACCGGTAAGTTCGGCGTAGCGTGGGGCTTGTTGGCGGCCGGAGTGGTCTCCGGCCCGAGGGGTGTGGGGTTTGGAGGCAGTGAAGGCGGAGGAGACGGCCGGGCGGCGCGGACGCTGGGGTCCTCAGCGGAGGCGCCCGGAACCGGCTGGGGAAGCTCCGGGCTCGGGCGGCGGGGCGCGGCGGTTCCCTCAGCCCAGCCCGGAGGAGGGAAGCAGATTCACCGGCCCCTGTTGCGGTGTCTGGGACAGCGGCTCCCACTCCGGAGAAGGTCGGCAGGCCAGGCTTCTGCCGTCCCGTCCCCGGTGCGTGCCGGGGAGAGGACTCGAACCCGGTTTGAGAGCTGCTGGTGGCCCTGCCCGCAGAGCCTGCGGACGTCCCGGCGGCGCGGGAGGCGGTGCACCGTCCTAGAGCCACCTCCTTGAACTTGTAAGTATTCGCACTGCGGAGTCGACCTAGTTTGTAAATCTTTCCTCCAGAGTCGAGGGTCTGGGGAGCCGTGTTTTCCAGGCCTCGGCTAAACAAACGTTCTCTTAATTCAAACACCCTCCACCTCCATCCCGTTAAGTAAATAGTTTATCTGGGGTGAGCATATTGGCAATTTAAATCCGAACTCAGGACTGTGATCCTCTGATATTTTCTGTACCCTTTTGAGAGGAAGGAACACATTCCTTAACATAAATAGGACATTTACGTTAATGTTGATATTTTGTGCTTAAAAAGTACTTTAGTTAACAAATTCCAAAGTGCAGGAGCTAATTATTAGGTAATTTAGTAAGCTCCTTCAAATTAGAGGGTTGCGGGTTATTTCACAAATGAGTAAATTTAGAGTTCCATAGTTATTTCTAGTTGAATACAAAATGTAGAAAACAGTTTCATTTGATGAAAATGGAGTTTAAATTCTGACATGTTAGGGACAGGAAATGTTTATTCACTGAGATGCTCAGACTGTATCTTTTGGGTATTGGTTACAAACAGTTGTCTGGTATCCTAGAAGATGCATTGCTACTCAAACCTGAGTGTGACTCAGTATGCACTTTAAAGTAATATCTTACCTAGCTGCCCATATGTGAAAAACACAGAAAAAAAAATTCTTAATCAATTTTAGCCATTCTATAATTACAGCCTAGAATCATTTGTTTGGACCAACTCCTAAAATTTGGTCTCCAAAAATGCATTGATACCTTTGCCCGTTAAAAGTTGATAATTCGGGGCTCGAGCGATGACTCAGTGGTTAAGGGCACCCCTTGCAGAGGACCCTGCTTGATTCCCAGCACCCACATGGCAGCTAACAACCGTCTCCAGTTCCAGTGGCTCCAGTGCTTTCTTCTGTCCTCCTCGGGCATTTCACGACACTGGTGCACTTACATACATGCAGACATAACAATTCATACACATATAATAAAAATAAATAAACCAAAAAAAGTTAATAATTTAAAGCCTTTGGATAAAAAAAATAGAATAACATTCTACTTTTGTAGAAGAAGCAGATCAGAATGGATTGGGCAGCTCAGTACCTTATTTATAGAGGGTACAGATGATAATTTTTAGTGGGTTGTAATGAGGATTGATGGTGAACCAGTGCCTGCCACTTTGTTGATAAGGCGTATGTGACAGTGGCCTGTTTTGTTCCCTTTTATTGATTCTGTGTCTTCTGTTGTAACAGGGTTTCCTATCTTTCTCAGGGGCCCTGGCTTGCAGAGTCTCTAAAATCGAGTAATTTTGTTTGCCTGGATCGTGACTTAGAGAAGAAACTGTGTCTATAGGGGTTTAATCAGGGTTACATGATTGAGAGAGAATGGGATATTAGACGAAGAGTGAGGCGGCTCTGGGCATTTGGGACAATTACAGTGTTAAGATCATAAACAATTTGAAGGTACAAGTCATCTCAGGGATCAAACCTTCATTTTAAAGCTTAGCAAGGGTGGGGACTCGGGAAGATGCAACAGCCTGCTCAGGGCTCAAAATCACCTGACTTTCAAGACTAGTTTTGCTCCTGAACTAGTGCTCCATAATCTTGGCACAACAAGAACTTCTTTTATCATTGAGCTTTGCTATCTCTGTGGATTCTGTATTTTGAAAGATTATATTTACTAAATTGTCTTCCTTGTAAAAATCAGGTGTACGTCAGCATCTCTGGTAAGCCAGCGAAAGGAGGTAGTGCTCACTGATTTTAAGTCTCGCTTAAATTGCACCAGTAGGAGGAAAATAATTTTTTAAAAAATATGACAGGGTAGTTGACTCCATTACTTTGATTATAAAATAAAGACCATACATTAGCAACTATGAAATGCTTTGTTCTGAGTGCATTGTTTCTTGTCAAAGTGTGCTAAATGGTGGCTAAATTGTTTTTCAAGAGTGAGAGAAAACCCTGTTTGCTCATACTAGGGTGCTACAGAAAGACTTTCAGGTCATAGTGAATTATGTCAGCCCAGAATTAAAAGATGTGTTCCGTGTCCTACACACAGCACTTTGTAGGATAATTGTCAGATGGAGTAAGTCCTAAGTGCAGAGGTGCTGGGTACAGGACATGAAGGAGAGAGTGCTGCGGGACTGTGGGGAGGTGGCGGCTTACGGCTCATTGCCGTCTTCCTTGAGACGGTCTTGATTAAATTAAATATTGTTGGGCTACAGGCTAAAAACTAGAAGCTTCCAAATTAATGCATTGGCTGCCCTATGGATGTGGTTATAATCTACACAGAAAAATGAAGTTCCTGTTTTCTCTGGTGTTCCACATCTGTTGAGAATGGTGGGTGAATTTTCCCAGTTAAGGGGCAGTTTGGGATTATCTGCCTTAAATAAAGAAATACACTCTGAAAGGAATGAGAAAGAGACACTTGAAAGAAATCAAAAAACCATTCTCAGAGAAGCCAAAACAGGAATGACAGGAGGCCAGACATGGTACCAGTTGTAGGATGGATGAGTGGCATGTATTCCAGTACTAGGAGACTGTCTTTAGACAGGAGTCCACAGCTAAGTCCCTGAGCAGCTTCTCCATGTTGGCTGGTTGAGAGTTGAGCTGCTTTTAAATAGACAGCTCCATTGTGCATGCTTCTTACCAGCAGGTCTCTGTTTATCAGTGGGAAAATAAGTCTCCCTTATATCTGGGTTTTTTTCTGTATGTTTTAGTCCCCCCTCCCCTCTTTTTTTTTTTTTTTTTTTTTTTT